TGTTCTTATCCCGGCTGGAGTAAGCTGCAGTTTCCACCTCGCATGGGTCTTAGCAACTCCGATGCGAGGTCGAAACTGTCGTCCACTTCTGTCTGGATGAGAACAACTTTTGGAAGAGCAAGGCTATGTGAAATTGAATGGTAACGTCAGCTCTACTCATCTGATTGTGGGATAATGCTTAGACAAAATACGGTGAATACATCTCATCTAACTTATTAGTTTTTTTCGAAGATATGAAGATGAGGATGGTGTGGCCAAAATGATAAAAAATGATTTGGTTTATTATATTTGCTATAAATCTTGTATTTATGTGCGCGTATGTACATGTATGCAACTGCAAGTCTGTACCAATTACAACGGTGAATAATGAAAGCATAAACTGTCGTCGGACCAGGGCCATCAAGGTATAATAGGTTTCCATTTTAATAATTGTTGAGCTTACTTTCATTTCGAGAGAAAGTGTTTGGTGAAGAGATTCTATCGTCGGTTCCACGAAAAGACGACGGCAGATTCCTCTTAACCAGCTGTCGATTGGCTCAACTGGAAGATCCATGCTGATGCGATTTGCGAGGTAGTCTTCTTCGATTCCGGTGAAAAAGTGCATCATACAACGAGCATCATCAGAGCAAGTTGTCATCGTCACAACCAAATTTAAGCTAAAAAGTCAAGAAGTGACGATAATACGATGAAGCGAACACAAACAGGCACATACAAATACAGAGACAGACACACTCACATGCATCAAATTTGACATATGACCTTAATTAACCAAATTATTTATACTTGATTGAAGAGGCCAGATATAGAGCATATATACCACTTTTGGGGATTTTCCGGTGAGTTTTCTTGACTCGTTAACTTGAATTTGATTGTGAAGATGATACCAAGTTCTGATGATGTTCGTCATTCGACGGACGAAAGCTTAACACCTTTTCACTGGAATCGAAGGAGATTGCATTGGAAACAGCGTCACCGTGTATGTTCCCGTAGAGCCAATCAACAGCTGGTCAAGAAGAATCCGCCGTCGTTTTCTGGTGGAACCGACCTTCGAATATCTTCACCAAACACTTTCACTCGAATTGAAAGTAGGCTCAACAATTATGAAACAAGAGATTCATCGCATATATTATTCATACAATCGACTCCGGACTAGGTGCGTTTCTCTGAGTCCTCCTACCAATATGACCAAGTTGCGAAAAAAGGTCAAACAACTTCTATGCAACGAAAACAGACCACGACCATAAAAAAGGCCACACACTTCTGGTCTTCATATCTTCGACAAAAACTAATAAGTTAGCTGAGATGTATTCACCCTATTTCGTTGAAAGTAATGAAGAACTGATAGTTGCATTTTCCCACAATCATATGAGTTGAGCTGACGTTACCATTCAATTTCACATAGCCTTGCTCTTCCAAAAGTTGTTCTCATCCAGACAGGAGTGGACGACAGTTTCGACCTCGCATCGGAGTTGCTAAGACCCATGCGAGGTGGAAACTGCAGCTTACTCCAGCCGGGATAAGAACAACTTTTGGGAAACCAGGGTTATGTGAAATTGTGGGAAAATTCTACTAACACTTCTTCATCACATTACACGAAATAGGGTGAATACATATCATATAACCGATGTACTGGTAGTCTCGAAATTCTATTTACATACAAAAAACTAATAACTCTTATAGCTGTTAGCTTTAATAGAGGCTAAAGAAGATGCTAATCCGTACTTATTTATTGGTGAAACATGGAGTATGCATGGTTGAATTGGTCACTTTAATGGACGAATCTTTGGCCAACTGTTTGCTTTTTACAATCTCAGGGTCTCAAGTTAACTCTAAACCCTTGAATGCCATGTTTTTTGGAATATGTGTATACAAACACGTTGCATCGAAACTTATCAGAAAGCCCCTCTTTCTATCACCTGAACATTTGCTAACTTTAGAAAGTCGTAATAATCCTTCATTGAAAACTTTTAACATTCTGCGATTTAAAAATAAATCCTGATATTTTATGCCTCACCGCCGCTTTTATTGACAATAACCCTATTTGGGGTA